TTTAAAATTAAGCCGCAACAACATAGATTATTGGCTGAAGTTAAATTTAACATATGGTGATAAAAGGAGGGATATTTATACAATTCAAGCTTGGGGTGTGAAGGTGTGTTTAGATTAGGTTATATAATTTAGATAATTTTAAAAAGGTAAATATCTTCTGAGTGTTATCGGGGTCAGGACCAAGATCTTCGTAGAGATTGTCAGCTAGTTTGAGGTTGACTCTAACATCATTTTATGTTTTATTGTGATGCATTCAGACCATTCGGTATACGCTTTATATTATATTCGACGGCGGCGACGGAAATATTGTCGTTAATTCGACGACGAGAGTATAAAATAAATAACCCGCATCGTTGGATATGGTTAGCAGGGGGGGAGGGGGTTCCTTTTTTATTATTACATCATCATGTATGTATCGGTATAATACGTGCGTATATACTCGCGTATCGTATAATATAGGGCGAGATGGAAGTAATAATAACAAAACATCCTCAGCAGCCTCCGTCGTCGGTGTTCGAAACGAGCGGGTACCGGAAACTGCGAATAAAAACACCGCACAGATGCGTTCGTATAATATTTCGCACGCGTCTAGCTCGGGATTATTTTCTAGATTTTTAACTACGAGTATATACGACCTCCCGGTAAGCCGTGACGATATTATATTTAGCGATTACCCGTCGTCCTGTCCCTACAGCCGTATAGAGGGGAATACGCGATGCAACCTGTACATAATGTATACAGAGTGTTTCGTCAGATATGCTCAACATCATCGTTTTCTTAAATAACAAATAATACATTTTTTTKGATTTTCAAAATATACTTGGGTGTCCTGTGATGGAACCAACTTTTTCATTTCAAATAATATCCAACTTTTTGACCGCTAATTGTTAAACAGATGATTTTTTTGAGTATAATATGTTTCTATCWGTGTCAAAATTTTTAAMATGTAATTTTTGAGTTATTTAAATATTTGGAATGTACTAAGAAAATTAGTTCCTAAAAATGGTTTGAAAAAAATKTTAAATAGATGTACAATTATTATCCTGTACCTAATATTTATTATACAATTGCAAAATGTTTATAAATAATTTAAAAATCTTATAGATTTCTATTGCTAGAACTGTAGTTTCAGGATCAATATGGTACCTATATTATTTTCCAATTATTATTATTATATTTATATTGTTGAATAAATCAATATATTTGAAGAAAAAAATTCGCCTAATTAGTGGTTTGTGGGAAATCATGATAGGTGATGAATCTCATTTGAAAAAATAGTAGTTGGTCACAGAACACTTTCTTAAATTAGTGTAAAAATCTAAGCATGAGAGAATATTGTCCTTAAGTATGCTTGAAAATCCCGAGGTTTAATATTTAAGGAAAACCTGGGGATGGCGCGTGCTTGGCGAATCACCCTGTATATGCTCTAGGCTTTTTTGTGTTTTCAAGACGCCGACGCGGAAGATCGCGCACGTTTCCATAAATATATTTTATTGCGGGGCTTCAACATTTTATTATGTTAACGTTTTGTGTTGGCGTGAGGTCGTCCGCGCGTCCAGCGCACTTTTTATCTATTTGTTTCCCGCGTGTTCATGCCGTAATTATTGTTGTCGTTTAACGTGCCGTTTAACGTTCGTGTGTATTCGTAACGACATTATCACTTTCTCCAAAATAAATAATAATAATAAAACCGTCAAATTCTTAAATATATAAGATCCGAATCTATGACGCCGTCATCGCTGTGCCCGTGAAACGCATTTGATGTCTTAATAACACATGCACTCGGTAATGTGCGAAATCTAGGTGCAGTAAACCGTTTTTCCTTTTCATTTTACTACTCTAAAAACGCAGTAAACAAGTGAAAAAAATTATATTTTGTACCTACATTTTATTTGCCGATTTCAGATTGGTGTTGATTCGTTCCCACGTTAATTTAAAAGAAAACGGTTTTAATTTTTTTCAATCATTTATTTATTATACTTTATGCACTTTCATCATACGATCAAGACATCTAGAATATCATATAAGTCTTAGTCCCCCCCCTTCACGATCCTATTCTTTATTTTTTTTTTCGCGAGATTTCTCGACATGCGTACTTACATATTATAGTATTATTCACTGAATATATAATTGGATTTAAAAAAAAAAAAATACACCTTTATACTGTAGCATTGTCTTGTCTACCTATGCGTGCGCGGGTAGAGAAATTTCAACACAATTATGATTATATTTAATATTATTATATGATCGTGTGCAGCACATATGTATGGCACACACGTATTACAGCAATAATATTTATATGTACAGATCATGAAAATGTCTTAAGTTCCAAATAAGCTTATTAACGTTTCGCTACATATTATATTTGTGTTACAGGAGCCGTGGACCGACAGGGTAACGCGGTGATTTTATGGGTCGAAGGACAGTCCGGGCATAGCTCAGWGACCATGTCAGATGTGAATGCGGCAGAGCTTATTTTGTACTACGCGTCTCTGAGAAACAGGTAATAAAAATAACGCATTATCTGAGATCTAGTATTATTGGTGTAATGGTGTAGACGCATAAGACACAAGAAATAAAATATTTCTTGGTTGGGTGGGAGGGGGCGGGAAGTTGGTGTTTAAAAATTATGTAAAAACCTACTCAATCATTATMATACCAATTATATAAATTAGAGATTAAAAGTTATGATTTATTAGTGAAAACTGTTTTCGTATGGCATTTGGGAGCATTTACCTCAGTACGCTGCGTAAAATCTAGGTCAATTTAGAAATGTACATTTGAAAATTGGCCTTTTAGGGCYGGTTAAAAAACTAAAACTTGGTGGGCCGATATCTCGTCTATCCGGCGCTGGCTCTAGCTATATAATAATAAAATAAAATATGATAAGTGCTCACATGACAATACGTAGGTATACCTTATTAGTTATTACCAACCTATATACTCGCGTTGTCCTGCGGACATATTATATACCTATCTATTTATTATTTATATCATATTATAATATTTTATTCATTCGTATCTTCGCCGTATTTTGTCGTAGAAATAATGATATATAAATGATTAAAACAATATTTTCACATTGTATTTGAAATGTTATATGCCAGTAGACAATACCTAATGATGATTTTGTACATCTGTACTAAAGTGTACTTGCGCTTAGAAAGTTAGAACGTCCGTAGGACTGTAGGAGTAATTTGCTCGCGACACGAGTCATCGAATAAACAAAAAATAATGCTCTTGAGCGAAAATATTACCATAATACCATGACAATATAATATAATATTATAGTATTATACAATACAACGCGATGTGTATAATTATTAATAACACTACATATATATGTATAAAATTATATATATATATATATCAATACCGTTGAAACAATCCGATTCGTCCTTGCCGTAGCCGGCCGTGCGGTGACAGCGACTTGTGTTTAGTTGTAGGTTTATAATATTCTACTTCACGCCATTGGATTATTCATTCGCGTAACGATGACGGTAAAAAGTAGATAGTGCATATATATAATATATATATATATGTATGATACAATGATAGGTATGTATAATAACGGCTTCTAAGACAATAATAATAMATTTATATATAAGGCGATGGCCGTGTCGAAACGACGCGCTACAGTCTACATATATACATACCAATCAAAATCTAATCAAGCCGCTAGGGGACACCGCGATTGTTTTTCCTTTTCGATTTTAATTGAGTCGTGTTCGTTCGTGACCTACCCCGTGGACTTTTACTTTTAGTCGGACAGGCAAGTTAACAAGCAGACCGCCACGATATTATTATATGTTATTATATTTTTCCGTTTCAATTAGTCAACACGAAAATCCGTAAATAATACCGTAATATAATAACAACTGCAATAATATAATATTATCCGTTAGGTGGCTCAGGGATACAATTATATTGCACCAACTGGTGTTATTCTAGGTCTAGGGAGTATCAGAACTACTCTACTTTTGCACCGTAAAGCCGAGTGTGAGGTTGCCGAAAGAAAAATGAATGGTTCAAAAGTGTACCTATATATATATATATATATATATATATTGTTTGTCACGAAATCCGGTTAAAATTAACACGGTTATAACTTGACTTGTTTAATAAGGCTAGGAGCTATCAAATAACTAAAAATACTAACAATTTAATATTTGAAGTGGACTGTATAAATATATTGCGCATATATAAGCTTAATGTATTATATAATACATGAGAGCGTCTTAAATTATATGCTAGATCTAGCATAATTACAACAACATAATTATAATAAAATAATAATAATAAAATCACAAACGTGATATTGACAAATGTAAATTTATGATAATAACAATTTTACGACATTGACAACAATAGTCGCCGTGGTTATCACAAACTAGATAATATTATAATTAACCAAACCAGAATTTCGATATCACCATTATTTCGAGAGAACCTCACGGGACATCCYGTATATATATTATATAATATGTTTACAATACGATTTTGTTTTGTTAATAAAAGTACCCTTTTAAAATGTGTATTCTAAATGTTTGAATAGGTTATAATAAAGAATGTGTTAATAAAATATTTTGTTAATTTTATGCGATAATTTATCTATATATGATAAAAATTGTATCTTTCACTAATTATGTTTATGTTGAAAACCAATTAAAATTTGACTCGTTGAGGCTAAAATTAGCAAATTTTTGTAACTGTAATGTGAAACTAATAAACGGGCACAATATCTTAGACTTTTTCAAACATAATTATTTAGTTGCTTAAGAAAAAAAAGTAAGATAAGAATGTTGAATAATTGACCTATAACTTTTCGAGTGTTTKGAACATGTATTAACTGTGGAAAATGCGCAAATATATATACTTCCTGGTATGTTTGCAAATTGCTTCTATACCACTTTAAGGGATATGTGTGGTGGGATAAGAATAGTAGCTACCTAGTAACCGTTTAAGACACTTTGAAATTATCAGATTTACAAATATTTATGTATATCATGTGGGCAAAAGTATACAACCTACTTAAAACTTTGAAACAAAAACAAAATAACTTGTATATAATCATAATATTACAATAAGTATAAATAATAATTAAGAATATTATAATATTATACTTTGCATTTTTAAACTTTATAAATCTTTATACAAATCTGTTATTATCAATTTAAATAAATTAAATAAATTATTTTATTTTTAAATTACATGCTATATCCCTCCTATGCATAGTATGACTTCCATAGGCTTTGGTTTTTCACTTTTTTGTTTTCGCTGAATTTGATTTTATTTACTTACAATTTTTATAATGCATCATTAATGTTTAATGTTTTTATATTAATGTCATTTTTATTATAGTTATGCGTTTTTCCTTTTAATTTAAAACACGCGTTTTTAACAGAATTATGAAAACTATTAATGTATTAATAACTGATCTGTTCTACTCACCAAACTTAAACTTATTTAAAAACTATTGTAAATAATTTTTAGCTATAAGTAACAGTTATTGTTTATTGATAAACACTGTTTAACTTTTCTAACGAGCGATTGTTATTATTATTGTATGTAATCCGGCCTGCCCCCGTTTAACCTAAAAAAAAAAATTAATTGGTAAATCTACCTTATGTAGAAAATCTCAAATCATTTATAAAACCACTTAATGAAATTTAAAAAAGAAAACGTAAAAATATAAGCCATGACAAACTATAATTTAAGATTACTTTTATATCTTACAATTTATTAATATATTTTTAATTGTTTAATTAAGTCTCAATTATTTTCCAGAGTTATATAAAGAGGGGTGCTTAAAGTGAATTTGCATTTAATGAATAATAATTGCTAATAAAGAATACATAATTTAATAATATCGGTTTTGGAGATTAATTGCAATTTGGTATAATTTTAATATTTATAAATTAATTATCCTAATTCGTTTATTAGTTATTATTTATTACGTAAGGAATTCTAGTGCCTAGTGGCTTTTAATACTTCCTTGAAAATCACGTAAGGAAATTAAAATCTCGAGGGATTAAACCAATTAATTTTGTTCTGGTTTCGTCCAATATTATATTATGAATAAATAATATCACAAAATATAAAACATGACGCGTAAAAACAAGTTATTAATTTTTTTCTTACGCAACGGCGTGCACCCGCATTTCATGCCCTTGTTATATATTGTGCTCGCACGTCTACGTAATAATAATAAATTAATAACGGAGTAAATTGTTTTAATTATTCTTCGTTTTTAGAAACGAAAGGAACTCGTCGTTGACCATCTTGGTACACGAGAACAGCTGCACAAGCATAGAATTCGTCGATTGTGTACTGGAACTGATAAAGGTAATAAACGTGACAGAGTCAATAATTTCTCATGCGTTACAATAGTTTTCATCATAATTATCGTTTATTATTTTGCACAGCATCAAGTTTCCGTGGACAAAGTGATTTTTTGCACGAAGCGACACGCAGAAGGAAACCGTCTGAAGTATAGCCAAATTCGGGTAAGAAAACGTTTCACGCGTATTCATTCGTACCTATATGTATAATGCATAATAGGTTCGAATTGCTTTGATTATACGATTCGTTAATAACTTTCAGTGTTACGCCGTCAATTCGTACAACGGTCTCCTGGAGTTCTTTGAGGACAGTCAGATCCCGTCGGCTTGTGGCGGCCCGTACACACACAGCCAACTTGAATGGATTGATTTCTATAAGGTTTGTTCGCRTTATTATTGGGCCATATTTGCTTATATGAATTATGACTTATGACAACTGTAAAGACTAAATCATTACACATGCACACGTGCGAATACAAAACGATTAATAATATTTGCTTGTGAGAGAAAAACGATATTAATATAACGATGTATTATATTCAACGGAAAATAACGGTTAATTCGTTATTGTGTACCGCACATCCTTTGCGACGATTTATCAGCAGTTAGTTACTATACTTTAATGTTTAACTATTCTTTTATCTTTCTTTTTTTTATAAGGAGTCGGAGAGGCTGACTTGTTTGAGTCAGACTGCCGGAAATCGACTCGTGACGGCCATTGCGGACATGGGAAAGGCGCAACAAGAACGTAATGCAATATCTAAATTTTTGGACGACTCGGATATTAAAAATTTACTTCAAGACGCCAGACAGAGCATGGAAATACTAGAACAACATGCACGCTGGTTGAACGAAGACAGATTTGTGATGTATGTTTGGTTTATAACAATTTATTTATATTTTATAAACGCTAGGAAAATTGACTGATTATTTATGTAAGTATGTGTATAGTATAGACTTTAGTTAATACTTGATGAGATATTTGGACATAAATAATATTTTACTGTATTAGATRTATAGATGTGATTTCGCATACGTATGTGTTCACTTGTGTTGTATGATAATATTATAATTTAGATTATTATCGTCCACTGACCGCGTTTAACTGCTTAAGTATACACTATACACAGTACCTATATTATACACATACAATATACATATTATACTGTCGTAATTATGTTGTAAATTTAACAACCATACCCATTATCCATATAATTCATATATTTTAAGAGTTTTTTTGTTTCGTGAGAGGGGGAACGGAAGTGTTCACAATGTACTTACAGTATAGTTTGTGATAAAAAGTATTAAAATTTTTAATAATGAAAACATTTGAATTATGATGGTATAATACAATCAAATACATTTTTAACAACAATTAATGGATAATTTAATTTGAAACATAATTCTTATGAACTGAATCGTTATAGTGGTGCAAAAATTGGAGACAGGGTTGGAACTTTTGCAGGAAGGCCAGAAAGTCGCATATAATCTGATTATATATATATAATCTACATTTGTCTATACAATATTGTATAACTAGAATCAAAGGTTAATATCGTGTGTTGTCCCGAATTGTTATAGTTAACTGATCAGAAAAAAAAATATTTATGATAGAATGTACTACTCCTACTACAATACCACTATAGTTAAAATCCAGTTTTATAATATGAAACTGATTAACTATTATACCAAAATAATAATTTTTTTTTTTATATAACATCTGTTATCTATATAATATCATATAAATCAAAATTATTAATGGTTTTTTTTTAGTGAACACGTATATTCAGATTTTCAATGAACTGAAAAGCCAACAATTAGATAAACTTTATATTATACTATTAACATCTGGTTCCTTACACAACTGCATACATGTTTTTACTTACTATACATTATAGTATCGTCGTAATAAAACGTTATGATGAAAACGATAAATACGTATGATTTCGTTCAACAAAAAACGATTTATTATTATTACCTACCATTATGTTGTTRTTTGATTATAAAAAATAACAATAATTATATCAGATTATAAAGTTATTATTCGAGACTGACTGACCAATTTTTAATTCATTTTTAATGTAAGGCCACCAATTTTAATTACCATGTCATAATGTGCCGGTTTCACTAGATATAGAGTTGCTCTTACACGGCAGTTGATCAAATATATTATTATATGTATTATTATAACTTTCTATATAATTTTTATTGTGAGTGTACGATTCAAGAGCGATATTAAAACAATACAAATTGTAACTATAAACACCATCATAAAACCAATTTAAATACCAAATTATGTAACGATATAGGTTTTTTTGTTTTTATTATTATTCGTTGTAAATACATGTCCTGCGGGTTTTCGTGCATTTAAAATGTTTCCGAGAATTTTCACGTCTTCTTGACTAAATATAGTTGATACTGAACCTCGCCTGTTTGTTTCTGGCCCATACAGGTCGAGTTTTGAGGACGTGAAGAAGTTCCACGGCGAAGTCGAGGGCGCCGCAGTCCGGCTGGAAGAACTGCTATTGCAGAAGAAAAAGAAAATAATGCAAGCAGCCAGAGTCAACGCTTTGGAGGCCGAAACACACGAGGTAACCACCAATGCCCGTGATAGTGATGTTGTATACTTTGTACAACTTTAGTGTATTTATGCCCGAAAATAATACTAACGATGATAATATATAATAATATTATGCCTCAGTCGAATCGGATTTTCTCCAACTTATACTACCTACCCATTAAAGCGATAACAATAATATTATTAATATTGGGTCCTCGTGGCAGCATTATACACTACTCTTTCTAATACGTCATCATATATTTCATCAAAAATAACGTATTCGAAATAAGTTTAAATGTATAATTATTATTGCACGTCCATCGGCCGAATTTTTGGGGAGAGATTGGTGCTA